TTATTGCTGTGTGGCTGCTAGTTCTGGTGGTCAGCATTAATAAAACAACCCCTGGTGCCGTGGAAGAGAGGAAGATGCCTCACAGACCACACACTAGTTTATTTGTGGGGCACTCCAGTCATTCTGTGAGGCCCGCGGCGCTTAAAATAGGATTGCTGACAACTGGAGCGGGCCTGAGTTCATTGCCTCTGCAGCTGAGCCACCGCAGCTGCGCGTCAGCGGGCCCGGGTTTCGCTGACTCATCCTGGCTGTCAGAGGAGGGCAGAGCGGTCCTGATAGTTCTGCAGCCTTGTTTTTCTGATTTGTGTAGAGCGAAAGGATTGTAGGATCAGGCAGCGGAAAAATGGAGACTTTATCCTGAAGAGAGCTTGCACAGGCGTTTGAGGGTGTTGAAAAGAGGACAAAGGAAACGGGGCTGGGGTCTTAGCCCAGTGCTTTATGGGAAGCCACGCATGGCGGCGAGGGTGGCTTCCCTGAGCCAGCCGCCGCCAGATTGCACTGTGGACTCTGAATAGCTGGGCTGCTTTTTGGAGCGGCCTTGCGATGAGCAGATGAAAAGGAGGCACTGAGCACAGGACGTTCATGTGACTGCTGTTTTCAGTCCAAGGAGATGGCCAGGCAAGGAGGAAAGACAGGGCGAGACATTCAGAATGAGCTCAAGGGAGCTCCTTATTGGTAGATGAATATCTACATTCTAAATAGTGCTCTAAATTGAGAGAATTCTAGGGCTGTAGGGAGGCTTAGTCTTGTTCAGAAACCTGAAGCCCAGAGGTTTGTATTAAAAACCATCCTTACTGCCCTGGCTGGGTGGCTGTTGGCTAGAACATCATCCTGTATACCAAAAGGTTTCAGGTTCGATTCCTGGCCAGGACACGTAGCTAGCTTGTGGGTTTGACCGGAGGCAACCAATTGAGGTTTCTGTCTCTCTCTAAAAAATATAGGGGTGTCGAACTCAATCAGAGAAGGGGCCAAAATCTAAAATCCAGCCTAAATCGCAGGCCGAATGGTTTACTGAACAGTCATAAACTGTCATTGTGATGGAAACGCAGCGGAGTGCAGTGATGATAGCGAGGTGCAGGCCACATTGCAAGGCCTGGCGGGACGGATTTGGCCCGAGGGCCTTGTGTTTGACACATGTGATTTAAAACAATATCCTCTGGTGAGGATTAAAAAAAATAAAAAACAAATAAAAAACTGATTTTTCTAAAACTCAGAACCTGTTATTAAAGATATAATAAAATGCATTTTGTATTTAATTATAACATAGACTTCTGAAATCTTCAATAAAATTTTCTTATGGGGAAATGATGTTATGCTTTCTGTCAAAATAAGTGACCCATATTGCATTTCTCAAGTTTTTTCTTAGCACGTGGCCTAATCTTACCCCTATGAATAATGGCTTTTAGTTGTAAAACTAAGATGAAACTTGAGTTTCTAAATAGCATGATAACTAGGTATTTTATCCTACTAAGTATTTTTCTAGAAAAAATTGTCAACATCTCTTTTGTGTAGTTTAGTCAGAAAACTTTCAATTCTTTGAACAGCTATCTCTTATTCAAGTTTATTATACATGCTTAAAAAACACACACAACAACATCCCTTTATTTTTTTAATATATTTCATTGATTTTTTTTACAGAGAGGAAGAGAGAGGGATAGAGAGTTAGAAACATCAATGAGAGAGTCATCGATCAGCTGCCTCTTGCACACCTCCTACTGGGGATGTGCCCGCAACCCAGGTACATGCCCTTGACCGGAATCGAACCCGGGACCTTTCAGTCCGCAGGCTGATGCTCTATCCACTGAGCCAAACCGGTTTCGGCAACAACATCCCTTTAAAGGAAAGCCGTTGTGTGTTGTCTCTCAGGAGTGCTTATGAGCACAGGTCTCCATGGCGAGCTGTGTGGTAGCTAAGCCTTTCCAGCCACAGCACAGACCAGCCTGCAGGTCGCTGGGCTTAGCCTGCACCGTGATGTGAACGTTTGAATTCGTTCCCAGCATTTTAAAATCTTGAAGCTTCACCTAAAAATCCAGCTACTCTTGAAAAATGGGCATGTCTGACAGCACATTTGCAAATGATAACTACTTTGCTGGAGCTGAGAAGTGTCTGCTTCCTTTCAAAGGAGAGATTTAAAAATAAATTTAAAAAAAGAAAACTTTTTAAAGGGAGTGATTTATTCAGTGTGTCACTGACTGCCTACATTGCCTGGTGGCCTGACACGGGTATGCCACCTGCCCGGCCCTGCAGACCCGGGTTTTGTGTGACCCATGGCACGCTGAAGAGCTGGGGGGTGGGGTGTGGGGGGCATTTTCCCCTTCATGAGCAAGTGCGGTCAGGTTTCTCCAGGAAGGAGAATCCGTTCTAGAGTCAGTGTCAGGCTCATTTACGGGAACCTTCGCCATTTCTAGTGACATCCGTGTATTTGTCCTCGGAGTGTTGAGGCTTTTCCTGCCCAGAGTGTAGCCTGCAATAGCCTGTTTGACAACACACACACACACACACACACACAGGAACCCCGTCTATGTAAAACCTGTGTTGCTCTGGTAAATGTATATCGAAATAGGACAGAATTCTAATTTTATCCATTCTCAAAACTAATTATTAAGGACACAAAGGTAATAATAATAAAATAAAAAGGTAAAAAAGCTCTTCTTTCATTTATGTTTCACCCCTTTCTACAAAATATTTGAGTCGAGCTTACAAAGTATGGCATTTAAAAAATAGAGAAACATGGGGGTGGAAAGTACATTAAAGGAGCAGAAAACATATTCAAAGAGTGAGTCCGAAAGAAAAAAAAAGACATGGCTATCAGGCCCTGAGAATAAGCCCCGGTGGTGGGGAACACGCCTTGTGTGAGAGAGGACCTGTATGTCAGAGACACCGGAGTATGAACGGAGCGCCTGGGTGCAGACGGGACCACAGGCTCGCCTGGGGCCTGGCATGCAGAGGGTTGAGGCCGGCCTGCGCGGGCATCGCTCTGACTTTGCAGCGGTGCGAGCTCCCAGGAGCTGCCTTGCGGTGTCAGCCGGGGGTGTGTGTGGGTTTTATGAACGGGGTTAATTGTTCCTGCCTCCCGAGACCTCCCCCTGTATTTTTACCTACGCCGTAACGCCAAGAATAGGGAAGCGGAATGGGTCGTGTGTGATGAAATGAGGTGAGGGCGGGAGGGGGGCAGTCAGGGAGCTCTGGGCGAGAAGGTGTGAGGCCCGCACAGCTCCAGGGCGGTGGTGACCTGGCGCTGGCACAGCAGACTGCGCTTTCTGTCCCCGGGGTGAATGAAGCCAGAGCAGTGTGGGTACTTACTGCACAGGAGTTGTTTGCATTGGTGAAGCAAAGTGATCCAGGATCACACTGAATTGCCGGAAAGGTATTGGAGGACAGGTCCTGAAGCCGCCTTAACTACGTTCTTAGGGATAAGACTAAACGGAGAGACGGCTCTGTGTAAAAAAAGATGCATCCTACTTTTGTTTTGTTTTGTTGGTGACATTAGAATTGTTGTTATTACAGTGTCTGGAAATTGAGTTTTAAATTGAAAATTAATAATGGGGGCTCATGAAGGCATTTTTTTTTTTTTTTTTTGGTTTTTATTTTTATTTTTTAAAATTTCCCCCCCAATGTGATATGGGTAGAGCAAGGCCTGTTCACAGAATTGCAAACGGGGGGAAATGGAGACTTTCTGGCTTCTGGCTGACAAGTGAAGGGAACAGGGTCATCAAAGGCCAAACGTTAGGTGGGGGTGGATTTTGTAACAATTATAAGGACTGCGTAGACTGTTCCTGAGCAGTGCCAGTTTTAGAGTTGACATTCAACGTGTTTCGAAAGTGTAATCGGCAGATTTTACTACCTTTCACACGGGAGAGTACTCCTAGACATAAGCCAAACCACGTAAGACTTGTTCTTATGCCTTTGGTTGCATTAACTGTTGATAGTCGAGCATCGGCGGGAACTGAAGAATTCTGTTGATGCTAAGGAAATGAAAATGCAGCCGTTTTGTGTCCTTGTCCTAATCTATGAGAGGGGAGGTGAGGCATGTTCCGTAAGGACACCCCGGTTTCTCTGCTTCTACACCTAGCCCTCCCCCTGGAACTCACAGGACTGGTCCTTTTTTCAGGCAGTGCCGAACTCACCTTTCAGTGTGGGAGGGCTTTTTGGTGCTTTTGTTCTAAGCTCTTCTTTGATAATTCAGTTATGGATGGAAAGGACTATATTTTAAGGTTCAAATTCTGATGCAATACCTTTTTTTTTTTTTTATCATTTGATAAAACAGTACAAACAATGGACAGGAAGTTGGTTTCCCAGCCAAGAGATGTAACAAATAGAAAGAACTACGTCACAAATGTTCCTTTTTTTCTACTCTGTGAATCCACTTCAGTTTCTAGGCTTGCCTTTATTTACCCGGGATTGTTTAGAAAAATCAGATAAATCCAAAGTAGGTAACTGCACTGTTTGATATTCCTGGTAATTCCATGCTAACTTGATGAGTGTTAATCCATGTGAAATCCTATTGCTGAGAAATCAATGTTTTAATTTTAGGGGGTGATGAGGATTTAAAAGCCAGACATACAGATAAGTTTTAGAAAAATATTTCTCATGTTTTCATCGCCTTCCTTCAGGCAAGCACTTACAAAGCTAAGTGCTGCACTGTGACAGGTTATACAGAGTTTGTCTTTTGCTGACATGGATCTGATCCAAAGCCCAGAATCTCTCTCTAAAAGACTGCTTTTTTTTTTTTTTCTTTTCTTTTAAAGCCACAGATGGGTTTTTTTGTGTGAAGGTTCCATGGTATATCTCTCGAGTGTTGAGTATAGTACCTACAAGGAGATTTCCCAGAGTTCCATGGAAAGGCACTGAATGCAGATTACATTACATAATAACTGGATTTTTGTTTGGGTTGTGTGTGCTGTAAAATGCACAAATCGGTGGGTTTGTCGTCAGTCACCTTATTCTCCTTTGGGGTTGATGGAAATGAAGTAAGGACCAAGTAAACGACTTTTTTTCAGGTGCAAATCCGACCGTGGAACCTAAGTGACAGTGACTTTGTAATGGATGGTTCTCAGCCTCTGGACCCCAGAAAAACTATCTTTGTTGGGGGAGTTCCACGACCCCTTCGAGCTGGTGAGTGGAAATAGTAAACACCACAACAACAACAACCAACAACAACAACAAAATCCCCAATGCATTAGTCTTCAATATTCCCGAGGTTTCCGGTCAGTCATACACAGTCTCAAAAAAAAAAAAAAAAAAGGCTCTCTTGTCTGTTTCGCTGAGCTGATGCTTTCAAAATTGAATGTTTCCTCCCAAAAATGTTCTATTTCCTGATGGTGCAAGAGTGAATTTCATTAAAATGTTATTTTGAAAGGATGAATTCTATTTAGTGCTTTCGTATGCAACCACATGGTTTAAAAATAGTACCAATGCATTTGGCAATGTGCCTTCTCATGCCAGTTAGCATTGTCATGGATGACAGAAAGAGAAGTTACCCATATGTGCCAGGCAGCCGAGTGCCCTCAGTGACAGTCACACCACTGCTGGAAAGTGTGCCCCTGAGTGTCAGAATGAGCTCCTTGCAAGTGAAACAGGTTCCTTTTTTTTTTTTTTTTTCCTTACGCAGCTTGAAAAATGAGTTATATATTCAGGCATCTTTATGATGACTTTTTATAAAGCTTCCCTATTTTATTTTTATTTTACTTTTTTATTTCCCCAATGATGCAATCATTGTTCCTGCTGGGATGGGGCATAATTGATTGGGGCAGTGGGAGGGATGCTGAGCTGATGACATGATATATATAAACCCACACACAAGTCTAATCAGTTGGGGATCAGTGCTATTGCCAGTGGAATATAACAAAATTACTTGCAGGAACTAAGTTTTTAAAATGTTTAAAATAATTGAGTGTGTGTTTTTAAAGGAAGATGAAAAGATAGGTTACTGTTGCCACCGTAGCTGCGAAAGCACATTATCTCTGTGCTATTTGTAAGCTGGTGGGCGTAGTCCGACCTAAAACAGAAACGAGAAAGCAGAGATCACCAAGGTCAAGTTGTGAGGGCCATTATGGAATGTAAAACGTTTCTACAGCTACTTGGCTCTGTGACTTTGATGGGTTCTTAATCCCGAACATCCCTCAACGTTTTTAATATGTTTATTTACATCTCAATTTCAACCCAGTCCTTTTTTGATCACGTTGGGCCTACATAAAAAAAGGTGTGCATTATTCCATTTTGAAGGATTTTAAAACATATTCATTGTGACTGTGGAGTTTGCAGTTTTGTGGTATTTCAGAAAGTCAGATCCCTTTGGGTCTCACTTTCATTTTCCTGGAAACTCTGTGAAGGGAAGAAAGCAAAGCAGCAGATACCCTTCCAGGACCTTCCAGGACCTGCCCTCCAAGAAGGAAGTCCTGGGAGGGCCCACTCCACCGGGAGCAGCACCAGGGGCGGTAGATGCAGCCGTTGTGTCTAAGCTGCAGATGCTTCGGAAAAGGAGATGTGGGTGGGGACATTGTGGAATATTCCTGGCTTTTTCCAACTGGCCTTACATTTAGGAGCGGAGTGAGAGAAAAATCCTCTCTGCTGTCTTTTAACAGTGTAAATGGTCATTCATATTATTAGTAGTCTAGCTATTCTTTTTGCACCTAACTGCGAGCACATATTCGTTTTAATATTCTAGCCCCTCTCTTTCCCCCCCCCCCCCCAGATTGGAATCTGAAGGGGGGAAAAAATCCGAAAGAAAAAGCCCCATAGTAATAAAAAATAACAGAACTGACTTTAGCCTCTTGTGTCTATTTTTAAGTCGCTGACACAATAGCTTATAAATTAAATTTCCTTTTTTATTATTCACCCTTTACTCTCTGTTTTAATCATTTGAAAGGATAGGTAAGAGCTTCTCTAAGATTTTCCCTTTATAACTCAGTTTTCACACTTTTCTAAGATCACACTGACACCACAGGGCAGGAAATCCAAGGTGCTAGGTTATATTCTTTCTTTTAACACTCTGTGTCTGCAAGATGTTGCAAATTCTAGGATTAGGCAAGAATTACATTTAATTTATCATCAGAGGCGGGATTTTGTGTTCCCCACCTAGATACTATCCCCTTTCTAAGTCTTTTTTAAGTTGTTTTTTTTAAGGTAAGCTAAAATTTGTGTCTTTATGTTTTATTTCTGCAGTTAATGTGGCTAGTAACCCACAGTCCCTTTCTCTGATGGAAGAGTCCATCCATGCCAGCACCTCCTTTAACTGTAGCTAAGTTATGGTTTCTGGATGGCTAAGTCATCTCTGTTGGCACCTTAGAATGGAATCTCGATCTTCACAGATTCCATCTGAGTTTCTGTCTATCCAAGACTTCCATATTGGATGCCATGCAATCTGAACAAAGAGATCTGACGTCTGCAGCTTTTGCTCATGTGCAGAGAATCGGGCTTCTTTGAAACACACTGAGCTCCGTGGGCTAGTGTGTGCCCTGGAAGAGAGGGCTGTTTTTGAAGGAATTTGTTTGACTTCACTAGGCCATGTTCAGCTGGACCGTGTTCTTGCTCAAGTGCAGTTCGCTTGAACAAGAATGTTTATTGAGCATTCCACTGTGTTGGTGACGCTGAGCGAGCGCAGGCCGTGCCAAACCAAATGAACATCTCTCTGTCCCGTGAACGGTCATCATCTGCAGAGCAGCTGATTTCAGGACAGAAGGCGAGAAATGTGTCCATAGAATGCTAAGAAACTCAATGAAGTGATGCTAAATTATGCCCTTTAACATAATGTTTCTCAAAGTTGGTTTTTAAATACTTCAGGCCATTTTTAAAAAATTTTATTTCCAGAGGGCATTGTGGTTATGGAATTTTGAAGAGTCTCAGACCTGTTTCAGATCCTCTGTGCAGGGTGACCCCGGATCAGAGATGGGTGACAGTATTCAGCAAGTGAAATTTTGGGTGTCCAGATTGATTTTTCACCTTATCCTGCACCAAAAATGGTCCTTTAACATGGAATGGAGACTAAAATGTTATCACTCAGGAATTATTCCTTTGGCTCTTGTGAAGCTATTTTATCTTGGATATTTCTCATAAGACAAGATCATTGTCACTAATAAATTAATACAGATAGTCCTTACCCCACTGGACAGAAATACACAAACCCTCCTAAAGAAACCAGGCACCCTGTTTTGAGCAGTATTAGCCTGAGTTTAGCTTTCTCTTCCTGGTCATTTAACAAACCTTCCTTTTTATAAATTCGTGTGTGTGTGTGTGTGTGTGTGTGTGTGTGTGTGTGTGTGGCGGGGGGGGGGGGGGGGGGGGAGGCTCACAGACCCAGATAAATGAAAATGGGAAAATATCAGTGGAAAAACCTAGATGCATTTACCCAAAGCTAGACTGCCTTTTGGTTTCTTTAGTCCAAGCAATACACATTCCTACCGTCTCCTCTCCCTCCCTCCGGTCCCTCCTTTGTTGGTGGCAAGCCAAGGACAGCTTGCCTGAAGTCTCCTGGTGTTTCTCAGCTCCTGTTCTCCTTCCACTCCCCCCTCTCCTCACCCCCAGGCCAGGGAAGGCTATAGGTAGACTCACCATGCCACCATGTGGCTGAAACGTACATCCTTTTCAGAGGGAGCACAGGGAAAGGGGTAGGTAGTCTGTCTGGTTCTCTACCTGGAAGTGCACAGCGTATTTTCACTTTCCGTTCCAGTAATGCAAGCAGCGGGTCTTCCTGAGTCTCCCTCAGTACGGAAATAGCCCTGTTTTGCATATCCCTATGGCCTTGGGGCCTCCCTAGAATATATCTCTCTGCTCTGAGAGGAAATAAGTGCCAGGCTTGGGGATTATGAAGAGGCTACCAGGGAAGAGGAGAGAATGAGGCATCTGGCACCTGTACATGCACCCCCCCGCCCCCCCCCCCCCCCACACACACACTTTATAAACGTGACTATTCTCTGACTCCAACTTCTTGGCTTAGATATCTCATTTGAATATCACCTCGGTGATCAAGCTTTGGGACCCAGCCCCTTCCAACTCTGGTCAGGCTCGAAAAGCCCTCCGTGCCCTCTGATTAGAGGCACGTGAGCTGTCCTTCTCCTTCATGACCTCCTCGTGACAGTGCCCCAGTCTGGGTCCTGCTCACAGCTCCATCTTCAGAGATCCCATCTGAGTCCTTGGGGCCGACCTACCATTTGCTCATCCTTCTTAGTCCTTTCCTAGCGATGGCTTTGATCATTCTTTCCTGTCTGATATTCTGTGATGAATCCTAACATTCCCTTCTCTGCCTTTTTCTCCCTCTGATGGTTGAGAGCATGGATTTTCTGTAAGGGGGTGGGGGGGATAACTAAGGTAGATATTCAGTGATCTGTTGCATCCATCTAAAGAACATACAGCCTGAAAGAGCACTTGTTTCGGACATTCTGTACAGGCATTCTGAGAGTTCACATGTATCAGGAGCCACCTTCTGATGTGCGACTCAGGAAGGAGGAGTGTTGTGACCCCGCTTTTGTTGTTGTTCCACGAAGTGGTAACAGGCAGAAATCATCTTACGTCATGTTTCTCAGTAGTAGGAGCTTTTTCTCTTACTGAGTCCCAAGTTCAGTACGAGTTGTCCCAGACAAACTCCAGATTTGACATACAGACTTGATGGACTGCATTGCCCTGAGGGTGAAGGGTTTTCCAATGTTAGTATGCATTTTGTTCTCTCTTCCCCACAGCTGTTGTCAAACTTTGCCATATCTGGGGGCAGGTTGAGTAACGTTAGCATAAAGCCAAAGTAAGTCTGGGAAGAATTGGCGCTTATGGAGCAAAAACTGAGCCAAGTTCATGTTAAGCAAAGATTTATGAGTAGAGGCCAGAACCCACCCCCAGACCAAACGGAACATTTGAGCCCCACTCTGTGCTCAGCGGTGTGTTCAGAGCGCTCATGGATGTTTAATCCTGTGATAACCCTGTGAAGAACTCATAGAGATAAGGAAGCAAGGTTCAGAAGGAGTGACCGGCCAAGGCCGCTATGATTGAAAAAGCCAAGACTCAAACTCAGATCTCCAGACAACAAGTTTGGGACTCTTTGCACAGCAGTTGAGCTTCTTTATCAAGCTGAGCTTTGAGATAGTGTCTCTGTAACAGTAGTAACAGTTACCTTGGTACCAGCTCAATTTAATCAAGTTGAACACTCTCTTTCTCTGACTTGGTTGGTTGTTCATATCACTTATTTGAAAATATTTCTAATTTCCCAACATCTGACGCAGAGTAAAAGCGTGTGAGCACATGTCCCCGTTTAAGATGAGTGAAGTGCCCTTGTGAACCAACATGGCAGTTGTAAACCCAGAAAATCCACCGTTAAGTTGGATTTTCCTTTCATTCTGAAGTCCAGACCTCCTCCTCCTCCTGAGGTGCTTTCTGCCTCTTTCCCCCCTGCTTTGTTCTTAGGGTCCAGAGAGAAGAAATGTGGCTTGTAGATTCACAATTTACAATCTGGAAGGATGAGTGTGTTGCTATTCCCCCTTGGGAATCCTCATTCCTGCTCTTCCACATTTGGTTCTCATAGTATCTGAGACTTAACCATTGCCTGATGGCTGGCTTTCCAATCCAACTAGAGGATAGGAACAGGACCCCGGGGTCGAATGAGGGAGTTGTCATGGTTTCCTCTCTGGTGAATTAAAGCCTCTTTCAGAACTCTGTGAAGAATCAGGAGCAAATCCAAGGAACCGTAATTGGAGTTCAGATTGAATGTCAGAGGCATAGTCACCACAGCTTGGAGGATCTCAGGGAGAGGCCCTCTGCTACATACAGCTGCAGTGTTCTTGCTTCCCTCTGATGTTGGCACAGTGAAGGTCATCACAAGAGCTGTGTGTGAGCGAGACCCACAGTTGTGTTGCTGTTATAATGGAGCAGGTCGTTATGGCGTGACTTGAGTGTCTCGGGAACACAGAGCTTCTCCAAAGTACAGCATGCCCTTGGATAGAGCTACCAGACCTGCTAATTTCCTGCCCCTGTGGTGACCAGACAGACCCTGTGAACACTTGTCTGGATAGGAAAGAGAACATAAAAAGTAGTTTGGAGATTCTTGGCTTCTTCATGGACTCTTGTCTATGCCTGCTGTCACCTCCATCTGTCTGAATCCCAGCCTCCACCTGTATACCTCACCTTCCTCAGGTTAAATGTAGATAATGTGATTCTGAGAGCCACAGTGTCCTTGGCCTCTGTAGAGGATGGTTGAGAATGAGGAGTCACTGTCACAGGCTTAGTAGGTGGTTTGCCTACACTCTCTAAGTACGTTGAACCTTTGATCCAAGGCTCACGTTTCATGAGCAGGGTTGAGATCACAAGACATCGATAAGCCCATGCAGGTTTTAGTTGACCTCTGCCACATCCTTTCTGCCTTTCTTCTACTTTTCTCTCCTCCCAAGTACTGGAGTCAGTAGCCCTCTTCTTGGTTCAGCTTGCCCCCATCAGAGGAAGGGAACTGATATGGGACTTCCCTATAGGAACTGACGATACTCACTATAAAGTAGCCTTTAAAACCCAGTCTCTAAAAGCAGTTGTACATTCTGACATGTATAGGTGAACTGGTGCTTGCTTTATGAAAAAATTATTTCAGGCTGAAAACTTAAAGGCCTTGAGGAAGGCTCGCTCTGCGTTTCTATTAGTCATCTGCTTAGTGGGCGAATTCAGTTACCCATTCCCCCTAAAGCTGTATTCACCAAGTGGTTATTTTTCTCAGTAATGTCACTTTAAGTGCTAACAGAGCTACTGAAATGACATATCTCTGTGGTGTGTGAGTGTCGCCCACAGGAAGTGTGCTCTTAGTGAAGACTTGCTAATGGAGTAAAAGACCAAATACAAACAACAGTTCTTTGATCATCATTATTTCTTTCTTCAGGGGTGTTCACAGTGTTAGATTTTTATTTATTATTTATTTATTTGTTTATTTATTTATTTATTGTCATTAAAAGAGAGATACGGGTAGCAAGAGAAATAGAAAATCTTCATATTCTTTTCCTCAAAAAGTTCTCTCTTTATTCACCTTGGTTGCTTCTAGCTTCTCAAGGAATTGCTCTTCCCTTACGTGAGACTTCACTGGCTCAAATGTCTGCAGACTTTTTGGTGGCCAAGAAAGTGACTGTGTGTAAGCAGCCTGTATGTGGAAATGATTTATTCATAATTCTCATAAAAGCATAGTGAGTGAGGGTTTCTGTTTCCTATCAAAAGTACCTAGCTGCCAGCCACGTAAGCCATGACCCCATCTTTGGCACATGAAGATGATTTCCCAGCAGCTAGATCTGCGAAGCAGTGGAAAGCGTCTGCTCTTGGAAGGAGCCTTCTCTGGCACCTGGGAGCCCCCCAGGATTCCTTCGGAGGCCACTGTGCTGCAGAAGAAGCTGTGGCTGAGGAACGCGCCTCGTCAGCTGGAGCTGCAGGCATACAGCCAGTGCCCCTTCTTTCTCAATCAGACCCTTTCTCGAGTGCTTCCGAATGGTGGAAGGCAAGTGCCATTCGGTCCTTGCAACATTCATCTCCTGGTCATCCACCAGGCTGAGGGGGTGTCTACTATCTTGTTCCATTCCAGAGGAAGCCAGGTCTTTGGGGAAATTTGTGTTTCATTTCCAGGCCCTGAGGTTACTTATTTTTACTAATCCCATTGGACCAGAAAGGGAAGTTCATGAATGGCTACAATGAATGAATCCTACCTTCAGTTTCTTGGCGTGTCTGTAACTGGAATAACATTAGTGAGGTAAGGAGGCCCTCCAGCCATCAGAGGTTGTTGGAATGAAGTGTAAGGACCCACTGAACCCTGGCATTCAGAGTATGTGCCCCATCATTATGGCATTGTTTGACTGTAGTCAGGGTCTATAATACTTGAGTGCCAGTCAGCAGGGTTCCCTTGGCTGGCATGACTCGATCGTTCTGATCATAATGGGGTCATTGGGATGGCTTTCTCCACTAAGCACATATTCTTGGACTTAGTGATTGCTAGCTTTTTTCCTCACCTTTTGAAAATTACCTGTTGGTTGTAGGTCACTCTTCCTATTAAAAATGGGCACTTAGGAAAGTCATCCATATTAGGCACTCTAGAATGGGAAGAAATTTTGAAGTTAAGAAAAAAGGCCCGTTTGGTGTGTCTTAGTGGTTGAGCATCAACCTACAGACCAGGAGGTCATGGTTCGATTCCCTGTTAGGCCTTATTCCCAGGTTGCAGGCTCCATTCCCACTGTGGGCTATGCAGAGGCAGCCAATCAATGATTGTCTTTCATCATTGATGTTTCTACATCTCTCTTCCTCTCCCTTCCTCTCTGAAATCAACAAAAATATGTTTAAAAAGGAAGAAAAAAGACAGCCTTTCTGTCATGGCGACATGGCAGCTTCATAGCACAGGAGCCCGGTAGTGCTTGGCTTTCCTTCTGCTTGTAGAGCCGGGGGGGGGGGGGGGGGGGGGGGTGGTTCTTGTGCCTTTCAGCCCCGATGCCCGCTACAGATTTCTTCCTCTGACCCCCCCCTCCCCCCGGGTGGTGCTGTTTCCTTCTCTCAGATCCTGATTCCCACGGGGCTCTGCGCTGTGACGGGCTTTGCCCCCTGGCGGTGGCCCCGGTCGCCATCTTTCCTCACTGCATCTCTTCCAAACACCACCCGTCAGCGTTTGAGGTTGCTTAGTGATTACTAGCTTTTTTCCTCACCTTCTGAAAATTACCTGTTTTTTGTAGGTCACTCTTCCTATTAAAAATGGGCACTTAGGAAAGTCATCCATATTAGGCACTCTAGAATGGGAAGAAATTTTGAAGTTAAGAAAAAAGGCCCGTTTGGTGTGTCTTAGTGGTTGAGCATCAACCTACAGACCAGGAGGTCATGGTTCAATTCCCGGTTAGGCCTTATTCCCAGGTTGCCTCATTCCCCAGGGTGAGGGCTAAGTCTTTTGGACTTAAACTCTGTGAGTGGCCTGAAAGGAATGGTCGTGCCTGGAGGAGGTGCTGTCTAGTATCAAGTAAACAATTACCTTCAGGCAGTTTGGGTCCAGGTAAGTAAGTGCTACATTTCTCTCCATGGTGCCTTTTTGGTGAGGATAATTTTAGAATATCACACCTTTAGATATCCTTATATTTGTATATCTTAAATATGCAAATATAAGGATATCTATAGAAGAAATGTGACAAGGCCTGCAGACTAAACCCCTGGATTTTTAGCAGGTGCAGGATGGGTATGTTTTATATTTGTATATCTTAAATATGCAAATATAAAGATATCTATAGGAGAAATGTGACAAGACCTGCAGACTAAACCCCAGGATTTTTTGCAGGTGTAGGATGGGTATGTTTTTACTGCCCCTGTAGCACGCTGTAAGTGCTCAGTAAACGTTCATTGCTGCTGCTATCATTACTCGTATTACTAAGAATTTCCTGTGAGAGGCTAGTGTGGAGGTTTCTCCGCTGGGATAAAATACACTTTGAGTGTCATTTTTTTCAGGGGTGGAGATCTGTTACTGTCAGGCTGTAAACACAGTGCCTCTAGCTAAAATGATGACTTAATTCTCCCTACAGTTTAATGGTAACCGTAGCAGTGTAACTTCAGTAATTGCTTTTGGTCTCAGAGGTCAGTATAAGTAGGGCTGGCTCTTAATAACTGGTTAGGGCACCTCGAACTGCTTTGCCTACCCAGGGCCCACTCCAGTAGACTACGCAGTTAGAAGTTAGAACAAGAGGATTACTGATAACAGCATCCCTTCAGCACTGTTGCTGGAGTTCTGATTATGCAAATTCGTGTGTGTGTGTGTGTGTGTGTGAAAATTATTTTATTTATTTTATTTTTTTATTTTCAAGTAGCTTATGAGGATCTCCTCCCCTACTTGAAGTTGTAAGACTGATGTGGACACTCCTCACGATACTTCACATGGGTTTCCTGTTCCTTAGTTAACACTGCATGATTCTCAAGTAGTTCCTCCTGCTCCTCCTGCTCAGGAGTTCCTTCTAAGCACTCATACAGAATCGTGTTCATTTTCTTGCAGTTGAACTGGCAATGATCATGGACCGTTTGTACGGTGGCGTCTGCTATGCTGGCATCGACACGGACCCGGAGCTGAAGTACCCCAAAGGTGCTGGCCGCGTGGCGTTCTCCAACCAGCAGAGCTACATCGCCGCCATCAGCGCCCGCTTTGTGCAGCTCCAGCACAACGACATTGACAAACGGGTAAGCAGCCGCCCCAGGAGAGAGATGAAGTCTGCTCTCCGGGCGCCTGGGGGGAGAAGCACCTCTGCCTCGCCTGGGAGCGGCCCACGGCCCGCGGAGGCTGCCTGAAAGGGAGCGCCCTCGGTATTGAAGGTGTTAACGAAGCCTCTGCCTTGCTCTCCCCGGGGCGATGTCACACTGATGAAAATAACCCCGCAGAATTTAGCTCCCAGTGCTGTGCCAAAGATGATGCAGTCACAAAGCGTGAGAGCTGGTGACCTGCTGGCCCCTATGGTGTTCTTACAACAAGCAAACCTGAACTGACTTTCAGTGCTGAATCACAAAATGTCGATCTTGCAGTTTCTCTCGAACCAAGTAGCTGCCGTCCTCTCCAGTGCCCCCTGCACCTCCCCGAGCTCTGCTGCTCAGACCATACACACAGACACACACACACGCACACACACGCACACACACGCACGCACACGCACGCACGCACATGCACGCACACGCACGCACACACATGCACACATGCACGCACACATGCACACACGCACACGCACGCACGCACGCACACGCACGCACTACCTACCCTGTTCCTTGGCACTCCCTGCCTGGCCACGGGAGGCATTCGGATTTTCTTCTGATCTGAAGAGGGGACCCGAGGTAGATTGGAAGAGCTGGTGTGCTCAGAGGTTTTGTGGACAGGTCTAGCTTCAAATCCCTTACATCCCAGCTCTGTCATTCTTTGGAAGCTCCAGGGAATGGACGGTGGTGGGTGTGACTCTGGGGCCTGGGCTAACAGAGTAAATGAGCGGGCAGGAGAACATTCCTATGCGATGGCACGGTGCTTGTTAATGCTCCCAGCAAAGGCGGTCCTCGGGGGACACACTGAGCCGGCAGAGAAGGCAGTCAACGTGTTCTGTGATGAAATTTCACCTGTCCTAACTTTTGGCCAATTTTACATAGCAGACTTACGTTTCTTACAGGGTGAAAATTTCAATGGGTGATGGATTTTTAAATATTTAGCAAGATTATATTTTCAGCCTTGTACAAGCCAGTGCTTTAAAAAAAAAAAAAATCAATTTGCTACATCACTGAGCTCCTTAAAAGTAAATAGTGGTGGTGTGTTTTTTAATTAAGACGAATCAAAGAACTATTTAAGAATTTTGAAACACCTCAAACCCACAGATTCCGATGCATTTAACCCTCTGCTGCACCAGTTGCTGGTGAACCCAAGCAAATTACTGAATGCCAGGAGCAAACTTCTGAATCCTGTGATAGCTGTGATTAGGTCCCCGAGAAGGGGGCAGACTCTTGGCCGTGGTGTGCCCGGACATGGAAGCCCTGGCAGGGGGAGGGGCTTGTGCTGGTGGGTTCCTTACAGAGCTGCCATGATCTGGACTCTGCCACCTGTGCCCGGGGGCCTGGGGTGGCACTGGGGAAATGTCCAGAATCGTCGTCTCCCCAGTTGGTCCTTAGCCCGTCCCACTTCATCCTGTACATACAAACCAGAGTGACCTTGTGAAGTCACCTGAGAAGCATGTCTTCCCTCCTCAGGCCTTTTGATTCTGTCCCACTGCCCTCGGGACAAAGCTGAGCGTTCTCACCTGCCATGGACTACAGTCTTCTGCTGCCTGAGCTCTCTCTTCCGTGGCTGCAGCCAGTCACAACTGGCCTTTTCCCTCTCTTTCTCGGGGTTAATACAGATGCTGTTTCCTCTGCCTGCCTAATTAGCATAACTTTTCCTTATCCTTGGCCGAGGCGTCACGGTAATATTTTTCATGGCGCTTGTTTCTCTCCCCCATAGATCACTGTCCTGGTGCCAGCTGCCACCCTTTGTGGCACCGAAGCACCTCTGCGATGGAGCACCGCTTACCATTAGACCACACAGTCCCCACGGCCAGTGACTGGCTGTCTTTCATGTCAGTTACTGACCCGTAATACTTGGGACCGGGTGGGTACACGTTAGTACTGATTTTCAGATGAGTGAGTGGGTTTGATCAGACCCACTGACTCCAGGAAGTGCCTTTCCCAGAGGCCTGAGTTAGGAACCCGCACGTGTGGTCACAGGTCCCGCCGTGAGCTTTACATGTTTCCATCGTTCACATACGTCTAGGAAACCTGTTATGCACTGAGAAGGCCACAGCTAGAGTTTATCAGGATCTGCTAGTATGTCTGTATGTTATTTTGAACATTAACAAAATGAGTTCGAAATTTCCCTGTGCTTTTTTTTTTTATCACTGTTTTGCCTTTGCTTTTTACTTTTTTTTTTTTTTTTTTTTAATATATCGGGTCTAGTAATAATTAATGTCGTTTTTAAACATTCGTTTAAAATCTTGCTTGGCGTTGACTTGTATTGACATAACCTTCAAACACGTGGTATCTACAGAACGTGTGAAGTGCAGTTAACAAGTTTTGCTTGAAAAAGTTTGTGTTTGGTTTGGTTTTTGTTGCAAAACTAGGGCTAAGAAGATGGCGGATGAAGAGCATATTCGGCACTGCATGCTTTACGAGTTCCAATTAGGGAAAAAAGCAAGTGAGGCTGCAAAAAACATCTGTAGTGCTCTTGGTCAAGATGCAGCTAGCGCCAGAAAATGCCAGCGTTGGTTTGAGAAATTTCGCGAGGGAAATTTTTTGTTAGATGACAAGAGTGGTCGAGGCCGTGTGTCCAATTTTGATCAAGAAGCTCTTCAAGCTCTTTTGGTGCAAAATCCTCAAATTACCCAACAAGAGCTTGCGACAACTTTAAATTGTTCACAAAAAACAATTTCCAATCAATTGCGTGCACTTGGCAAAGTCCAAAAGTTTGGAAAATGGGTTCCTCATGAGTTGACCGACAACAACTGTAATCAAAGAGTCAGAATTTGCAGTTCGCTCCTCTCTCGTCAAAACCGTTTGCCGTTTTTAGAGCAAATTGTAACCGGAGATGAAAAATGGGTGCTGTATGTTAATTTGAAAAGGCGGCCTCAATGGTTGGACAAAAATGAGGCTCCGCAGCCCACGCCAAAACCTGACTTGCATGTGAAAAAAGTGATGTTGTGTGTTTGGTGGAATTTTAAAGGAATTCTTCATTATGAACTTTTACCATCTAACCAAACCATTACAAGTGCAGTGTATAGTGCCCAATTGGAAAGGTTAGCCCAAGCTTTAAGAGAAAAAGAACCCGCGCTGATTAATCGGAAGGGCGTAATTCTTCACCACGATAATGCACGACCGCATACTGCAAGAATCACTGCTGAAAAACTGCGCCAGTTGGAATGGGAAGTTCTCCCTCAACCTGCATATTCTCCTGATATTGCCCCTTCTGATTACCATTTGTTTCGTTCTTTGCAAAACTTTCTTCTTGGAAAAAAAATTTAATAATGAAGAATGCCTCAAAAATGCATTGACCGAATTTTTTGCATCAAAATCACAAGAATTTTACAACAGAGGGATTAAAATGCTTCCTGAGCGTTGGGCACAAGTAGTAGAAAGCAACGGCAACTATATTGTTGATTAAATTTTGTTATATTGTTTAAATAAATTCGATTTAAAGTATTAGAAAACGACATTAATTATTACTAGACCTAATATTTTATTGATTTTACACAGAGAGGAATTGAGAGGGACAGAGAGTTAGAAACATCGGCCAGCTGCCTCTTGCACACCCCCCACTGGGGATGTGCCCACAACCAAGGTACATGCCCTTGACCGGAATTGAACCCGGGACCTTTCAGTCCGCAGGCCGACACTCTATCCACTGAGCCAAACCGGTCCCGGCTGCTTTTTACTTTTATGCTGTCTTCATGGAACACCTTTTTTCAAGTCAGTATGAGCCAGTGCAGCTCCAAATTAACATCTTGAAATAAATCCTTTAAGGGTTACATTAAGCATATCTCATGGCCTGTATTCACCAGCTGCCAGCCAGGTGGTGATAGTCCCTGTGTTGGCCATGTCAAGATTGTGTAGCACACGGTATGGCGGCTCTCAGTGTTTCTTCTGCCTTAGCACACATGAGCACATGATACACTCCCGTGGGTAAGAGAGGATCCTTAGAACACTACTGGGGGGAGGAGGTGGTCTGTGGGGTATGCCCATAAGTACCTAACGGGTTATACCCAACACCCCCTCCGATCCTCACCACCCAGAAAACCGTGGCTATAGTCGGAAAGTGTCCTGGCTTGGGACTTCTCCCAGTCTTTGTTTGACCTTGGGCAAGTTTCTTAACCTCTTAGAGGCTTCATTGTATTGTCTCATAGTAGTAAGAAATAGCCTATCTTATCGTTTATTGCCCAGGTGAACAGTGATAGATGAGTCACTTCGGAAAGGTGTCAGACTGTACAGGCGTTGATTTGTGTTATTGTAGAACCTAGCCTATTTAAATTGTGCTGTTGCCCAATCCTGTGACCAAGGCTAATTGTTGATGCTCTTTTTTTCCCCCTTTGAAAATGCCTACTCAGTTCCACTAAGAATCCTTAATATAAGAGTAAGTAGTTGAACTTGACACTAGGGGAAAAAAAATAACGTAAGTGCCAGTCTACCAACATGCTGCTTAGATGTTAGTCAAGACACACATGTAGAGTCTCTTAAGCTCCTTTTATAGAGGTGAACACCAGGGTGCATTTTGCATTTAAAGAATTGAAGGTGGTTTCTTTAGTCTAGAAAGAGGTGTTTTTACCAGTATCTCTTCTATGATAATGAACAGACTTTGAACTTGAAATCCAGTTGAAGGTTAGGATTACATTTTGCTTATATTCCTTTGAACGGCGTTTCTGTGAAAAATTGAACAGTTTAACGTATTTCAGTGCAATAAGGGCAAAAGCGGACCCCTGTTCTCATTCTGTCCTTTTCCGTGGTATTTTTAGAAGTGGCTCCAAAAGAACGCCCAGGATGTGAGAGCTCAGCTTTCTTTATAGCTCCAGTCTAGCCCACTTACGTAGAAAAGGGTGACAAATGGGATCATACTAACATGAGTAATCTTTCTACGTGGCCATGTTTCTATCCTCTGGTCTATTCTGTGGCATTCTGAGAAATTTTGTAAG